CTTTAGGGAGGGAATGGCACTCAGACCAACAAGATGGCTCGTTGAGATGCCTGAATGGGAATTCATGTGAAAGGGCCAAGATGGCATATGATTGGGACTCAGTGTATAGAAGTTTACAAAGGAACTTTCCATATAAAGAATATAAAAGAGAAACAAGAAAAAAAAAAGAAAGAAAAATATTTAAAGAAAAAAAAAAGAAAGAAACTTTTCCATGTGGACACCTCTACCTCCACTTTAGCAGTTTCTACACACATGCCCAGCTCCTCCTGAACATCTGGGTCCCTTATCATCTGCTTCGGATCAGAGCAGAAAGGTACTCAGGTTTCTGTCTTCCCACAGCTGGAGCATCTATGGGATCAGAAGGGAGAAACTATCAAGTTCCTGCTCACAAGTGCTTGGATCCACACAGACACACATAGACAGCCCTTCTGACTTGGAAGAAAGATCTCAAGAAGTGGCAGACCTACCTATTCAAAGACAAGTTTAGGGGGTCAGTAGGTACCCAGCCCACCATCCTTCATTCCTCCTTACTTAGTGGCATCATTTTTCTCCCAGTTGTTCAGGCTGTCACCATGGAACCTTTGTACAAATGGAAGCCTCTCCTTCCTCCAGATGAGTGCTGCCTGTCAGAACTTCTGTGATGATGGAAATATTCTATAGCCATTAACCAAATGTGGCTATTGAACATTTGAAAACTAGCTAGTGTGACTGAGGAACTGGATTTTCATTAATTAATTTAAATTTAAATAGCACATGTGGTCAGTGGCTACTGTATTGGACAGCACAGCTCCACAGTGTGACAGGAGAGAGAGGTGTATAAAATATTGTTGGAAAGCTACATGGGCCCAGATCAAGTTGGGCCCTAATAGGTCATGGGGAACAGTTTGGGTTTTATTTATAAGTGTAATGGGAAGTGAATTAGTTATCTACTGAAGCTAATAAGAGATGCAAATTGCTCCCAAATTTAGCAACTTAAATTACAAACATTTACAGGCATACCTCACTTTATGGCACTTCAAAGATAGTGCAACTGGGGGAGGGTCCATTTCCAAGTTCATTCATAAAGCTATTGACTTCAGGTTCTTCTTGATGGTTGGCCAGAGACTTCAGTTCCCAATCATGTAGGCCTTGCCATAGGTCAGTTACTTGAGGATGACATTTCATTATCTTTCGTCACTTTCACTGCATTTGTCTTTTCCTTTTTTGGATTGTGCTGGGTCTTTGTTGTTACATGCAGGCTTTCTTTAATTGCCACAAGCAAGGGATACTCTTTCTTGCAGTCTGTGTGCTTCTCATTGTGGTGGTTTCTCTTGTGGAGCACGGACCTAGGCACACAGGCTTCAGTGGTTGTGGCACTTGGGCTCAATAGCTGCGTTTAGGGCTTAGTTGCTTCATGGCATGTGGGATCTTAGTTCCCTGACCAGGGATTGAACCTGACTCCCCAGTACTGTAAGGCAAATTCTTAACCACTGGATCACTAGGGAAGTCCCCTGATCTCCCTTTTTAAAAATCATTTTGAAAAAATAAATAAATAAAAAGATCATTTTGGCCATAGATAGAGAATGGGTTGTGCCTGGAGAATCCCAGGGATGGTGGAGCCTGGTGGGCTGCCGTCTATGGGGTCGCACAGAGTCGGACATGACTGAAGCGACTTAGCAGCAGCAGCAGCAGCAGCAGAGAATGGGTTGAAGAGTCATATTCTGGGAGTTGTGTGAGATACCTTCCTGTCCTTAACTCTTATCAGTCGCCAGGTCTTATTCATCCCATCTCCATGATAGCTCTCAATCTGATCACTTCTCTGCACCCCCTGGCCACCTCCCCAGCACAGGGTATCATTCCTCTCTCTAATGGTTCCTCTTAAAAGGACCTCCTGCCTGTTTTACTCAGGATGGTGGTGGTGGTTTAGTCGCTAAGTCATGTCCAACTCTTGTGACCGTCCATGGGATTTTCCAGGCAAGAATACTGGAATGGATTGCCATTTCCTTCTCCTGGGGATCTTCCCAACCTAGGAATTGAACCCAGGTCTCTTGCATTGCAGGCAGATTCTTTACCGACTGAGCTATGCTGCTGCTGCTGCTAAATCGCTTCAGTTGTGTCCGACTCTGAGACCCCATAGACGCCAGCCCACCCTGGGATGGCCAATCCCATCCCTGGGATTCTCCAGGCAAGAATACTGGAGTGGGTTGCCATTTCCTTCTCCAGTGCATGAAAGTGAAGTCGCTCAGTCGTGTCCGACTCTTAGCGACCCCATGGACTGTAGCCTACTGGGCTCCTCTGTCCGTGGGATTTCCCAGGCAAGAGTACTAGAGTGGGTTGCCATTGCCTTCTCCGACTGAGCTATGCGGAAAGCCCTTACTCAGGATATGTGATTCTCAACAATGAAGCCAATTCTGGGTAACTGAGGCAGACAAGGAACTGACTGGGTGCTTGTTGAATCCACCTACCCTCCTAAGGCTTGGCTCGACCTCCTCCCCTTCTTCTTCTACTGTCACCACAATGAACCCTCAGTGGTCCTCTAATGTCTGATATGAATCACTTGCTTTGGATTTCCAAGACCTGCTTGCAAATATTGGAAACATGCTCCAGGTACTAGGGACCTTGGAGAGGAAATTTTGCCTCTTCTCTGATTTCCCTAGTGGAGAACAGGGTCTGCCTCTGCATTTTATAGGTTTCCTCCTAAAGTGGAGGGGTATTCAGATGCTGGGCACCAAAATAATAGGTGTTTACAAGACAGCCTAAGCCTCTCTCTCCTGACCCTTCACCCCACCCCTAGCATGGCACACAGTAAGCAAATAAGATCAAACTACTTCCTGGTTTAACACACTCCGGACAGTTCCCCACTACCCTCAAAATAAAGTCTAAACTTGCTGAGCTTCCAAGAATTTCCCTAATTCAGGCCTCTTTTGAAGGCCTGAGCCTCACTTCTTGCCCCCACCCCTCATCATGCATACCCCAATGTGCACCTGAAACTCTAGTTCAGTGCTCTGCCCTCAGGGGCCAAATGTATGAGCTCTCACCACCTTCCTCAATAGAACTCTGAACATGTGCTGCCTCTTGCCAGAGCTCTTTCCTTCCCACACCAGTTACCTCTGAAAACTGCACATTCTCACTTAACTCTCCGGTCTCACTTGGACACGACAGCCTTCAGTGGGTGAGGTACCTGTCCTTTGTCCAACTGAGCACTGGTTTTTCTTCTTTCAAGGTACTTATCTTTATTCCCCAAAGTATCCTAGATCCATGCATTTCCCCACATCTCCACTGCCACCTTCTCAGTCCAAGTCATCATCCCCTGTCTCCTGGAATTCTAGAGCCTCCCAACTGCTTGTTCTGTCTCCATTCTTGTCCCCTTGAAAGTCTACTAGCTAATCTTCTAAAAGGCTTTCAAAGGCTTTGAAATCTTTCAAAGCATTCACATTTCACTTAAGAAAAACAAACTCTTCTCCATGGTTTGCAAAGCCTTCCAGGTTCTACTTAAATCCCTGCTCTTTCATTTGATATCAGACTTTTGCGCTCAGAAGCTACACAGGCCTTCTTCCTGTTCCCTGAACATAGCAAACTTACTCCAGGCTCAGAGCTTTGCACTTGCTATTGCCTCTGCTTGGAACTCTGTTCCTCTAGTTCTTTGGGTGGTTGGATCTGCTCAAATGTCACACCCTGAGACCAATTCCCTTCACTATTTTGTCTTACTGTCTTAATAGCATTTATCATTCTCTCAGACCACCCCAATTATTTGTTTACTCATAGGATTACCATCTTGATCCTCCTTGCAGGTAGGCAGAGAGACTGACTATCTTGCTAGCACTACTGTATTCCCCAGCTCCTGGCTCGGTGCCTGGCACGAAATATGTGCTCTGCATTTTTGAATGAATGAATGGATAGGAACCAGAGAAGCCTAGTTGAATCTGGCTTTGCTTTACTTGCAAGTTTGGGCAAGCCTCCGTTTCCTGGTGTGTGAAGTGAGGGTGGAGGGAGTAGGATGTTGAACTAGAAGGTGTTGATTAGCTGTAAAATTTCAACCTTGTTTTCTTCCTAGTCTTAGGCCTGAAGCCAGCCACTGGACCTCAGCTCCCCACCTGTATAATGGGTGTGAGCTCATTCCTGCGGTTTGGGGTGGTAGCGCTGCCTTATAAGGCAGCAGAGGCCGAGGGCGGGCGAAGCCGTGTGGGTGGAGAGAAATCACAACATCCGGCTGTGGGGGCAGGGCGGGGGCGCCCGCAGTGGGCAGGCCGGAGGTCGGGTCGCAACTAGGGAGGCCGGCAGCCTCCTCTAGGCCTCTCCCTGCCTCCGATGTGCGCCCTCCAGGATGGGCCAACCCAAAAGCATACGGACGGACATACTAACCGAACTCGCTTGAGGCCGGCCCGCAGAAGGCCTAGAATGCCCAACGCATCCCCTTTAAACCCTGGACAAGCCAGGGTGAACCAACGGGACCACACCCACACCTAGTGGTCCAATCAGAGTGCGCTGCTGAGAATGACTGACCTTCGTTCATCCAATCAAATGCCAGGTATCCGGGGCGTGATCCAGAGATCCCACCTCTGCTGTCCCCGAGGAGGGCTCGACCCTAATTGGCAGTTCGGTATCCTACGAAGGTGCTGAAATTCGAACGTAGGGGCTGAACCCCACCGCAGACCAACCAGGAAGAGGTGACGTTTTAGGTCCTGCCCGCCCTGTTCCTTTGAACGAATCCCTAGCTCCGGGGGCGGGGGATGATTAAGGGGTTGTCTAATGGGAAGACGGCGCGGGGAGCGCTCGCCTAGTTATTGGCCAAGTAAAGTAAACAGAAGGCGGGCCGGGGCGGGGCGTGCCGGAGCCCGGGTGGCCCCCGGGAGGGGGCGGAGAGTGAGCGGCGGGCGGCGGCGGCGGCCCGGGAGGCCCCGGAGGCCGCGGTGCGGTCACTGCGAGCCGATCCGAGCCGCGCCGATCGCCATCCGGCCCCGGCCCCCTCGCGCAGTCCTAGCCGGCGGCGCGGCCCGGCGGGCCCGGCGGCGCCGCAGCCCATGGAGCTCGAGAACATCGTAGCGAACACGGTGCTACTCAAGGCCCGGGAAGGTGAGGCTGTCGGGTGCAGAGAAAGCGGGCGCGCGGCCTCCGAGCTCGGCGGGGTGTCTCAGCCGCCCGATCCCCTAGGACAGTTAGCTGCATGCCCCGCACCTCTCGCGGACACGAGCGCTTCCGGCCCGTGGTCCTTTTCCTCCGCACCTGCCCTCCGGGAGCCGGAGCCCAGGAAGGGGCGGGGGTCAGGCCGCCGCCCTCGCGGCGAGTAGGGTGGTGGTGGTGGTGAGAGGGTATGAGAAGGAGACAGGAAGGAAGAGGGAAGGGTGGGACCTCAGCCCCGGGAGAGCCTCTCTGAGGCCTCTCCCAGGTGAGAGGTTAAGAAGATGCCTCAGGAAGGGGAAGGGGCAGCCAGACTACCCCACGTGCCCGGGCCCAGATTCAGCCTGGGTTGCGCCCAGCCTTGGCCGGCACAAAGTTGGTGCAGGGTAAAAGGTTTGGAGAATGAATTAACCGAGGCTCTGCCGTAGCAGAGCCCACCTGAGGCGGGGAAACTGCTGGTCATTTATGCTACCTGCATGACTGCCACTTGCTTGGAACTTCAGGACACTGGGGACAGAGGGGAATGGGTAACAGTTTCTGCCCTCAGGACTAGTGGGGCAGATGGCACAGAAATAACTGGAAGCTGAGTTTTGAAGGAAGGGAGCATGCCAGGCTGGTAGGACTGTTAAGTGCAAGGCCTGGCAGAGGGAGCCTGTCTAGTGAACCTGGTGTTACTGAGTGCCTATGTTACCGGACACCTGCTCTATGAGGGCCCTGGGGATGTATAAGGACCAGACTCCGTCTGCCCCTCACCTGCCATTGTTCACCTCAGTAACATAATCACCAAACACCTACTCTGTACCCTGTCCTGTCCAGGGTGCTGGGGACCAGTAAAGAAGAAGACATTTCTCTTTGAAACGCTAGGGCAGGGAGGTCAGGACTCTTTGCTGGGCTTTCAGGCAGGTAGAGCCATCTGCATTGCCTCCCTGACCTCTTTTACAAATGGGAAACTGAGGCTCAGATCAGGAAATGGTCCCCAGGACCCAGCAAGATGGGTTGACTCAGGCCTAGGACACAGCATGTCCCGGGTGCAGCCTGTAGGAAACAGATGCTTTCTGGCACAGCATCTGGTGCCCCCTGTCTGCCCTATGCATGTTGACCCCGGGGAGGTGCTGCCTGGAAATGGGCATGGCAGGCTGGGTCCTCGGTGCCCAGAGCCTTCGTTATCTCCTGTCCCTTATTGAGTCCTGGGGCTAGGCCTTCCTCCCAGCCTCTGGGGGCATCTGCCGATTCTGTTCTGCCTCGTCATCCAGCCAGCCAGGGAGGAGGGGAGGGGAGAGCCTGGCCAGGCCTCCCTCCATAGGGCTGTAGCCAGTTCAGGCCTCAGGCCTGCTGAGAACACTGCCTTGCCTGGCCAGAAGATATAGGCACCTTCTGACACGCTTCCTTAGGCCATTGGCGAGGCATAGGAGGTTATGACCAGACTAGGACCAGTTCCTTCACTGGAGAATCCTTACTCCAACCTGGCCCTGTCCCTCCCACCTGGATGACTCTAGACAAGTCTTCTCTCTCTGAACTTCAGTAACTCTTTTTGTGGCATGGTTGAGGATGGGACATTGAAAACTAAAGGAAATCCCAGTTGTCACTGAGTTCTGAACCCTGGTCTGTAGACTGAGTGCATTGGAATCCCTTCATGAGCTGATTGACAGCTTGGCCCTAGGTTTTTGCCAGTTTCCCAAGTGATCTGAGGCCCTGAGTGATTTGGGATTGCATGTATTCAGTTGACACCTGATAGATGCCGGGCTTGTTTGGGTTTGGAAAAGAGCTTGGCCTGGGGTCCTATGAAAGCTGGGTTCGAATCTTGCCTCTGGGACCTCCAGGCTTTGTAATCTTGGACAAATTGATTCCCCATTTCAGGGCTTCAGCTTTCTCATAAAATTGAGCCAGGTCTGTCAGAGTTGCTGTGAGGATGAAGTGGGACAGCATTGGGAGGTGTGAACCCTCACTTAATCCTCCTCCCTTCCCCAGACCCCCAGAGACATGGGAAAGGGTCCAGGCTGGGGTGGGGGTGGGAGGAGCCCCGCTGACTCTGGTGGCAGTTACAGGACAGGATATTTGCATGTGACTCTTTGCTGCTGCCTTGATGTGGCTGAGAGGAGGGGGAGGAGGAAGTAACTGGTGGGGGTAGCAGGCGGATGGAGGGTTGGGTGAGGGACTTACAGGGGTGGGGGAGGAGTTCCCCTTCTGGGGAGGCCTTGCCCTAGGTTGACGGTGGGGGTCTGTTGCTCACTCACAGTGGAGCAATGACTATGGGGTGTGCTGGGTTCAGGCTGTGGGAGGGCTGCTACCAGGTTTCCCAATGGGGTACCCTGCAACACTTCCTCCTCTAGGCAGCTTAGGTCAGGCAGCCCACTAGAGGACCCAGCCTTGCCCCCTCCCTGGAAGGCGGCCCCTCCTACCTGCCTTCAACCAGGCTAGACAGAAACAAAGCTGCATAAGCCATAGGGGAAACTCAGGCCAGGTGAGAGAAAGTGATGGCGGGAGATTGCCACTGACTTGTTGGAGCTGGGACCCACCCCTTGCCACAGCTCTACTGAGTACTGGACACAGACTCTGTTAGTCATCCTCACAATACTTCTGGAGGACCTGAAGTCCACATGGAGAAACTGAGGTTCCTAGAGAGCAAGATAGGGGCTTCCCTGGTAGCTCAGCTGGTAAAGAATCTGCCTGCAATGCAGGAGACCTAGGTTTGATTCCTGGGTTGGGAAGATCTCCTGGAGAAGGGAATAGCAACCCACTCCAGTATTCTTGCCTAGAGAATTCCATGGGCAGATCAAGGGGTCACAAAGAGTTGGACACGACTGAGCGACTAACACACAGGAGAGCAAGTTACAGTCTAAGTGTAAAGGGCCGATTCAAACCCAAATCTGTAAGATGCCAAGACTCAGGCCCCTTCCACCATGTTCAACCTCATGACCCACAGGCCACACCTGTCTAGCTTTCTAACATGTTTTATGTATTTGGCTGCAGTGGTTTTTTTTTTTTTTTATAATACAGGAACCAGTATTTCGTGTAACAGTCCAGATTCTTGGCTGACTTTGAAAAGTCTGAAGAGTTGGCCGCACTGAGCCAGCATTCCTGCCTAGTCAGAATCAGGCAGTCAGCTGCAGTTGTGCTGCAGCTGTCTCTGTTTGAGGGGTCTGGTTCCCACACTCCCCACCACTCACTGTTGTCTCCGATCTGGTCCCTATTTACCGCACCTGTCTGATTCTGCAGGCATTTGAGCTGCTGCCCAGCGGCTGCAGATGAGGGATCAGCTAGGTAAAATGAGGTGGATGTCAGGACCAGGAAAGTAGGAGTAAGAACTCTGAGTGCCAGGCCTTCTGCCACCAGCTCTTTTGCCTCTGATGCAGGGTCCCGTCATAGGAGCCTGGAGCTCCCTCATGACTCAGCTGCCCTCTGCCATCTCTCAGGCATGTCCCAGGACGTCTCGCTTCTGGGCCTGGACTTAACACAGTTCCCCCCACTATTGTGTCCTTCTCTTCACTTGGGAGGGAAACTCCTACCTGCTTGGAGGCAGCTGAGGCTTGCTGAAGCTAATTGGAAACCCCACCTCCCCCCTGCCCCCACCGCCCCCGCTGTGGCCTGGCCTCATGCCCTTCTTGGTTGTTCCATCCCTTCTTGGCTCTTCCAGCCTAGGAGCCCCTAGCAGGAGGGCCTGGGGCCCATGTGTGTCCTGAAACCCAGCAAGAGCATGTTGCAGGCAGAAGGAAGGCCCACGGGGCCTCTCAGAGTGGACTGGGCCTAGGCTGGACCCTGAAAGCCTCTGGACCACGCTGAGGGTTGCAGGGAGGCCGGCAATGGCAGGACTCAAGAACTAGTGCCTGTTTGCTTCCACAGGTGGCAGCGGGAATCGTAAAGGCAAAAGCAAGAAATGGCGGCAGATGCTACAGTTCCCCCATATCAGCCAGTGCGAAGAGCTGCGGCTCAGCCTCGGTGAGGCCGTGGTTGAGACCGTGGGGTGGGGTGGGGTACAGAGGCAAGAGAGTCCTGGTGTGCCAGGGGAGCCTCCCCTGAGACCTAGCCTCCGGGCAGAAGGTTGTAGGGGTTTCGGGGAGCAGAGAGATGGAGGCTGCACCACCCAGCTGAGTTTCAGTTCCTGGGTCCAGGCTGGGTGTAGGGCAGAGAGCACACAGGGCAGCAGCGGGCGGTGGGGGGAGAAGCCCCAAGTCAGATTTGGGGGCGGTCTGAGGGAAGCTGCAGAAGGGAGGACCAGGCCTCGGGTAAGCCGGGCTCGGAGGACAGAGCAGAATGTGCAGAGGGGGCTGGAGTCAGCTCACACACTGACCGTCTGGGGCGGTGGGGTGGCGGAACCCAGGCCTGTGCGCAGCCCTACCCAGCCTGGCCCTGGGGGTGCCCAATAGGGCCTTGACCAGCAGGGCCCAAGCCCCCTCTGACGGCCTGCACGTGAGCCAGGAGTACACCATGGCTGCTTCCACTGCTGGGAAGGAGGCCTAGCCTCGAACTTGCCGGAAGCCACAGCTTCCTCCCACACTTTCGCCAGGCAGGCAGCAGGTGTGGGCTGGGCCAGAGCTGGGCCGGAACCACACAGACCACACCCAGCCCCAACCATGACGTATGTGCAAGTAGTGTGAACCGGAAGTCAGCAGCCGGAAGTGAGGACCCCAGCTCTGGAGCCACACTCCTGCTTGTGTGACCTTGGGCTAATTACTCAGCCTCCCGATGGCAGTAACAGTGGTGTTGCGTCAGTGCTGTGGCGAGGGTTCTAAAGGAGACAGTGGCTGCCATACTGCAGGGCTGGAAGCTGTTGGCGGGGGCTCCGGGCCTGGCGGTGCGGACAGGAGTGCCTGGCCGGCAGGCTCCAAATCCAGGAATCCAGCAGCTCCCACCTCTGCCTGCAGAGCGTGACTACCACAGCCTGTGTGAGCGGCAGCCCATTGGGCGCCTGCTGTTCCGAGAGTTCTGCGCCACGAGGCCTGAGCTGACTCGCTGCATTGCCTTCCTGGACGGGGTGGTGAGTGCAGCGCAGCCCCACACCGAGGGTGGGCAGAGGTCCCGGGCCACATGTGTGTCCCGTCTCCTCACACCTGTTACTCCATCCAAACCCCAAGCCTTCTCTGCCTCCCCCCCCAACCCCCGCAGGCCGAGTATGAAGTGACCCCTGATGAGAAGCGGAAGGCGTGTGGGCTGCGGCTCATGCAGAATTTTCTGAGCCACACGGTGAGTTAGCACTGGTGCAAGGATGAGGGTAGTGGACAGAGCTCAGTGATGGTGAGAGGAATGACCACTGCCTGTGCAGAGAGTGCCCCTGGAGCTACTCCAGGCTCACCAGGCGGCACTGTGGGCAGGGAGCCCAGGAGGGTGGGCCAGGGCACTGGGCCCAGCAGCTCTGCTTCACCATGCCTCAAGGAGAGCTGCAGAAAATTCAGCCACTAAGCAGGCTGTGCACCCCTGGCCACCCAGCACAAACCCGAGATCTCTGCCCTGACGGTGGGCAGGTCCCTGCATTGACCTGTCTGTGGCCTGTCCCCAGGGTCCTGACCTCATCCCCGAGGTCCCCCGGCAACTGGTGACAAACTGTGCCCAGCGGCTGGAGGAGGGACCCTGCAAAGACCTCTTCCAGGAGCTTACTCGGTAAGCCTCTCCCTGCCCTCAGGCTGAGAACTGTGTCCTGAGGAGGGGGTTTCTGCAGACCCAGAGGGCTATAAACAGTGCAACAGGTGGTGAGCAAACTCACTGTCTCACCCCAGCCTTGCCCCTGCTCTGTGACCCTGATCAGGTTGCCTCCCCTCTCTGTGGCATCCTGGGCTTTAGCATTGGATATCCATCTCCCCCGCAGGTGGGCTAGCAGGAGGGTTGGCCAAGGATTCTGCCTTTTAGGCTGAGCATACACATAACAGGGGGCCTGGGCCATCGAGGGGAGAATGGGGGGGTGTCAGGTGCTGACCAGAGGCTGGGCCTTCTCGACAGGTTGACCCACGAGTACCTGAGCGTGGCCCCTTTTGCCGACTACCTCGACAGCATCTACTTCAACCGTTTTCTGCAGTGGAAGTGGCTGGAAAGGTGAGCTCCTTGAAGGCTGGCCCCAGGTGGGCCGGGTTGAAGGGGTTCTCATGGGTCTCAGGCCCCTGCTCAGCTAGTGTTTGCTTCCCAACCCCTTGTCCACAGGCAGCCAGTGACCAAAAACACCTTCAGGCAGTACCGAGTCCTGGGCAAAGGCGGCTTTGGGGAGGTGAGTGGCCAGGCCAGAGCCCAGCAGAGTGCAGAGGTGGGGTAGAGGGGACCCTGACCATCTCTTTACCCTCTCTGAGCCTGTAACCCCCAGGAAGGCCACAGCTGGTCCCCATTTGCCCCATCTATCCTGGCTACAGGTATGCGCCTGCCAGGTGCGGGCCACAGGCAAGATGTATGCCTGCAAGAAGCTGGAGAAGAAGCGGATCAAAAAGCGGAAAGGGGAAGCCATGGCACTCAATGAGAAGCAGATCCTGGAGAAAGTGAACAGTAGGTTTGTAGTAAGTACAGACAGGAGACCCCTCCTTTCCCCCGCGGCCACACTGGCCCTCCCCACTCACTGGACTAAGACCTCTTCCCTCCCTGACCCGTCCCCTCCAGGCACCGATACCTCTCCTGCCTTCAGAGATGCCTGGGAGGGGCAGGTTTGGGATGTTGACACCCGGCCTGGGAAGCAGGATGGCCCCAGGGAATGGCACTAAGAATAGTTTTTGGGTGGCTGGCACTAGCCCCGCCACCAGGCATCCCACAACCTCTGCTTCAGGGGTCGTGTCCCCTTGGTCACAGGTGAGCTTGGCCTATGCCTATGAGACCAAGGATGCACTCTGCCTGGTGCTGACGCTGATGAACGGAGGTGACCTCAAGTTCCACATCTACCACATGGGCCAGGCTGGCTTCCCTGAGGCTCGGGCTGTCTTCTATGCGGCAGAGATCTGCTGTGGCCTGGAGGACCTGCACCGGGAACGTATTGTGTACAGGTGCAGGGGCATGGCCCTCCCGGGCAGGGGCCGCAGCTAGGCTGGGTTAGAGGCTGCAGAGGGATGTTGGGGTGCTGGCACCACTGTTGCGGGCACAAGTCTGTTGGACCTTAGCTTGGGCTCCACACTCACCCACGCTCACTAGGCTACTAGGCTCAGCATGGCTCAGAACCCAGGCTCTGGGGTCTGGTTAACCCATGTGTGAATCCCAGCACTGTCACCCCTATGTGGCCTTGGCCAGTCAATTCCCTGCCCACAACACCATTTTTTTTTTTCTGGGAGGCAAAGATCCTAATTCCTGCCTCGCAACTTGTAGAGAATGAATGCGATTATGCTGGAAAATACACAGAACACGGCGGTGGGGAGCTCTGCCTAGTACTATTACTAGTAATGATTTCAGGCTTCCCGGGTAGCTCATCTGGTAAAGAATCCTCCTGCAATGTGGGAGACCTGGGTTTGATCCCTGGGTTGGGAAGATCCTCTGGAGGAGGGCATGGCAACCCACTCCAGTATTCTTGCCTGGAGAATCCCATGGACAGAGGAGCCTGGCGGGCTACAGTCCATGGGGTCACAAAGAGTCAGACATGACCAAGCGACTAAGCACAGCAGCAGGGGGTGGCCCCGTTGGCTGGCTGGCCCGCTGAGCAGCGTCTGACCCTGCCGTTCTCTCCTTACAGGGACCTAAAGCCAGAGAACATCCTCCTAGATGACCATGGTGGGTGAGGGGTCCCTAGGGGCGGGGGAAGGATGGGAGAGGTGTGCCCATCTGCCTAATGGGCCTCCCTGCTTCTCCACCCACATTCAGGTCACATCCGCATCTCTGACCTGGGGCTGGCTGTGCACGTACCCGAAGGCCAGACGATCAAAGGCCGTGTGGGCACCGTGGGCTACATGGGTGAGTCCGCCTTCCCCCTGACCCACCAGCCTCCTGGGTCCTCTTGTTGTCATGTGTCCAGTCCCACCACTTCTGTTGGGAAATCTCCTGTACCTCACGGAACAGAAAGAGCTGATATTCCTCTTTTATAGATGAGGGGACCAAGACTCAGCCAGGGCCCCACACACTGTGAGTCCACAGCGTTCAAGCACTGGCATAGTCATTGAGCCCCTCCTACCGACTGGGCCTGAAGGTGGCCACCAGGGGAAGACGAGGGCCTCACACCGGCTTTCCATAGCCCTGGTCCTCCACTGCCCCAACCTGCCCGTGATAGGAGAGGGAGTGCCCATCTACGGTCGGGGCCATGATGAGGCCCCGAATTCCCCTTGAGAGCACTTGACACAGTAGACAGAGCTCCAGCTACGCGCTCCACCATCTCCTTATGTGTCCAAGGGCCACACTCTGCTTCTCTCGGCCTCACTTTCCCTGACTGCAGCCTGCTCCCAGGGCTGCCCTGAAGATGAAGAGGCAGTAGAAGTACCCCCCCACCTGCCCGCTCTAGCAGGCAGTAGACACCCAGCAAATGAGCTGCCATCTCCTTTCCTCTCTTTGACATTGAAGCTAGAGGTTGCAAACTGGTAGCCACACTGTGTCTCATTTGGCCTCCATCTGTGTTTAAATCAAATTGTTTTTCAAACAATTGACGTGGTCACCAGCATTTGATAACCCAGATGGCTTCATGTTAAAAACATGGTTTCTGACTTCTCTTGAAAGCTCAGAAGACCTGACCCCCCACCCCCAGCCCACCCATACCAGCTCCTCCTGGTGGGCTGTGAGCTGCCCTACTCCCTGCGGTCCCCACCAGGCTGCCTGGCTGGTTGGTGCCAGTGGGTGTTTGAACTGATCCCTGGGCTTGACGTGCCAGCTGGGCATTCCCAGGGCCCTAGGGCCTAATTCTGCCTCCCACCCAGTCTTAATTCCTGCTGTCCCTCCCAGCCCCAGAGGTGGTAAAGAACGAACGGTACACCTTTAGCCCGGACTGGTGGGCACTCGGCTGCCTCCTGTATGAGATGATCGCAGGCCAGTCGCCCTTCCAGCAGAGGAAAAAGAAGATCAAGCGGGAGGAAGTGGAGCGGCTGGTAAAGGAGGTGCCCGAGGAGTACTCTGAGCACTTCTCCCCACAGGCCCGCTCACTCTGCTCCCAGGTACGGCCGCCAGCAGGAGGCCCAACCAGCCGGGGCTGGGGCTGGGGGTACCTCTCCCAAGGATGCCCTAACCGCCCCTGCTCTGCTGCAGCTCCTCTGCAAGGACCCCTCTGAACGCCTGGGGTGTGGTGGGGGCGGCGCCCAAGAGGTGAAGGAGCACCCCCTCTTCAAGAAGCTGAACTTCAAGCGGCTGGGAGCTGGCATGCTGGAACCACCCTTCAAACCTGATGTGAGTGCCACCCACTCCTGCTGAAGGCAGGGCCAAGCCCAAGCAGAGCTGGGGGCTCTTGGAGCATTGATTGGGACCTTCTCGGTGCAAGCATTAGAAAACTCAAGTGGGTTAACCAACCAAATAATTCACCAGGCTCCTGAAAATGAAAGGCTCCAGAATAGGCCTGGCTTTTGGCACACTGGATCCGGGGCTCCAGCAGTGCTGTAGCGATTCTGTATTCCTGCTCTTCCCCACTACTGGCTGTGTGCAGGCTTCTCGCTTGGGCAGCTGTCCCCCGGGTATCAGGCCTTCATCCTAATAACTCAGCCACCCTGGTAGACAAAGAGTGCCTCTTTGCTCATCGCCTGATTACTTGGAGGCCCCTCAGCAGCCACATCAGGACCACGTGCCCACCCGAGCCACTCAAGTGGGGAAGATTGGTCTCCCAAAGGGAAACCAAGATTCCTTGCCAGCAGGGAGAAAGGCCATTGGACTGGCAAAACATCCACTTCCCCCTACACCTGGCAATGCTGACCTCCCATCTGTGAGCAGAACACTGCCCTCTGCATAGTGTCACTCATTTACTGAGCTTGATCAGTGGATCAAGCATCTGCTGGCAGAAACATCCTGGAGTCATCAGATTCTCAGTGGGAGAAGTCCAACTCAAACTTAGGCCCAACATGGAGCTTTTTGGTTCATTTGGCCAGGAAGTCCCAGGGTTGGACCAGCATCAGTGTTTCACACTGTGTTGCCAGGACTCCACCTCTTGTCACTGCTTGTCACCTGTTGACTGTTCTCCCACTGAATTCAAGCTTCTCAGTATAAAGTCATAGGGAAGGTTCTGATTGGCCAAGATTAAGTCATGTGCTTGCCCTCACCTCATGTGTAAGAGGACTGAGTCCTGTGATTGACAGTTCACCAGGAACACAGGGGAAGAAGGAGGGTGATGGATGGGCAGGCCAGATTGGTGGCTGTCAATCATGCATGTGATTATTTACACATTCAACAAAATATCTGAGTGCCAGTATGTGCCAGATCTCAGAATTCATAGGGTCAGTAGGACACAGTCCTACCTTCTTGGTCTAGTGGAAAGACAGAAAAATAAACCAGTAAGTGAAGAAGGAGTGGTGGAGGGGTGGGAGTATTTTTGGACAGTATGGCCTCTGAGTAGCTGATGGATAAGTATCAGTAGAAGCCTAAAATATGTGTAGGAGAGAACTGTGCCAGGATTTGGGGAGTGAGCATTCCAGGAAGGAGCAGCCAGGCATTGAGGTCCTAGTCCGGGGACCAACCTTGAGAGGTGGAGCAGCAGTGGAGGCCAGTGTGGCTGGAGTGAGTGTGGACAGGGAAAGAGGGAATGTGGAGCAGGAGTGTTGAGGGGTGGGGATGGGTGGTGGGGCCATAGAGCTGGGAAGTGGGAGTGGGAGGCCCCTGCCTCCAGAGGACTGCATCTTGTAGGTGGGGCTCACCAGCGCCCCGAGCTGTTGGCCTTGCCTTGGGCAGTTGATCTGCAAGCCTGACTTCTGCAGCCTGCCTTAGAGCTGGCTGTCCCACTCAACTTTACTCCAGCTTCCCTGCACATCATCTCAGTTAATCTTGAAAATCAGTGCCCTGGAGTTTAACTTTTTTAGAAGCAAAGTGTGCTTGATGGTGATATAGTTTTTGACAGCTTTATTGAGTTCATATACCATACAACTCACTTCTTTTAAGCATAGAAGTAAATGACTTTTAGCATAAAGATGCAACCATCACCAAAATCAATCTTAGAACATTTTCATCACCCCTTCCCTCCAAATACACCCTACTCATTAGCAGTCACTCCTCATTCCCCTTCCCCTTAGCAGCCACTAATCTACTTTATGTCTCTCTATATTTGCCTGTTCTGGACATTTCATGTTAACTGGATTATATAATATGTGGTGCTTTGTGACTGGCTTCTTGCAGTTTGCATAATGTTTTCCAGGTTCACCTGTGTTGTAGTTCTTACTGGTCCTGCATTCCTTTTTTATGACTGAATAATATTCCAGTCTATGAATATTGCACCTTCTGTTTATTCATCCATCGATGGACATTAGGGTTGTTTTCATTATGGGGCTATGATGAATAATGCTGTTTTGAACATTCACATACAAGTTTTTGTGGGGACATCTGTTTTCATTTCTCTGGGACACATACCTAGGAGTTGAATGCTGGCTCCTATGGTAACATGTTTAACCTTGGGAGAACTGCTGACTTTTCTGAAAAGCAGCTGTATGATTTTACATGATGATGTTTTGACATCCTTAACATTAGGATTTAGAAAACAATGTAAAGATGAAAAAAGAAGTGGCTTTCTGGAGTGAAGTGGGCTCCTGGCAGGGGGCTGGGGGCACAGGGACTGTTGGCTGTGAAGCAGAAGGAGATGGAGTATGCCATTGGACATCCCAGGACAGAGGGACACATCAGCTCCAAGCCCTGCATGGGGTATCTAGCTGAAGGGGCCAGCTGAGATTCAGCCTGCTCTCCCCTTACCAGTTACCCCCAGACAGCTGTGTACAGGCAGGGGTGGGGGCTATTATTGATTCCATATGGCACTGTGGGGACTGATGGACTGTCATGGGTCAGCTATGCAGCCTCATCAGTCCGTGAGCAGAGAGGGGTAATAATCCCCAGTTTAGAGGGAAACTTGGGCCTCAGAAGGGACTGTCATGCTCAGGAAGTGCATGGGGCACTTTTGTTTTTGAAGTAAAGTTGATTTACAGTATTGTGTGTTAGTTTCTGCTAGACAGCAAGGTGATTCAGATAAGATATATGTACGTGTTTATGTCCATGTGTATAAATACTTCTTTCAGATTCTTTCCATTGTAGTTTATTACAAGGTATTGAATATAGCTCCTCACACTATATAGTATGACTGTGTTGTTTATTTATGTAATATATAGTCATGTGTATCTGCTAATCCCAAACTCCTTATTTATCCTCTCCCCTTCCTCTTTGGTGACTGTAAGTTTGTTTTCAATGTCTGTTTTGTAAATAAGTTCATTTGAATCTATTTTTCTAGATTCCACATGTGATGTCACTATATTTATCTTTGTATGACTTACTTCACTTAGTATGATGATCTGTAGGTCCATCAGTGTTGCTGCAAATGGCATTATTTCATTCTTTTTTTATAGCTGAGTAATATTCCATTATATATATACACACACCCAAACATACCACATCTTCTTTATCAGACATTTATCAGACAGACATTTAGACTGTGTCCATATGTCATCTATTGTGAATAGTGCTGCTGTGAACACTGGGGCACCAGGAAGCTGCAAGGGTCAGGGCACACCCAGCCCCAGCTCAGGGCTGAGTTGGTCTCCTGTGGGGTCTTCCTGTCTGACCACTGCCTCTGTTCCCCCAGCCCCAGGCCATTTACTGCAAAGATGTTCTGGACATTGAACAGTTCTCCACAGTTAAGGGTGTGGAGCTAGAGCCCACTGACCAGGACTTCTACCAGAAATTTGCCACAGGCAGTGTGCCCATCCCCTGGCAGAATGAGGTGGGGACCTGCCCGGCTGGTGGGGGGTGGTCTCGGGTGGGGGGTGACCTCTGGGTCAGCGCTCACAGCTGCCTGTTCTGTGGCAGATGGTGGAGACCGAGTGCTTCCAGGAGCTGAACGTCTTCGGGCTGGATGGCTCGGTTCCCCCAGACCTAGACTGGAAGGGCCAGCCGCCAGCACCCCCCAAAAAGGGACTGCTGCAGAGACTCTTCAGTCGCCAGGTAATCCCCAGCAGTGTCATACCTTGGCCCCCAGCCCAGCTCCTGGGGACGGCGGGTGGGAGGCAGAGCTGGTGCCCGTATGTGGGGGAGTGGGCAACCTCCGGTCGTGTCAGTGGTGCCCAGGGTCTCTGGCCTCATTCCCGCCTGTCCCCCACCCCTGGCTGGGCTCATGGCCTCTTTTCTCTTTCCAGAGGTGAGCAGTGTGGGCTTCCCGTGGGTTGGCCTTGCTGCCCGGCCCCGGGGAGCCACAGGCAGCCCTTCCATGGCAGAGGCGACATGTGGGCGAAAGAAGTCTGGTGCCCGCTCCCTACCCTCCCTTCCCCTCCCCTGCCGTGCCCTGCACCTGGCACCTGCAAGCAGCGAGCCTTGCTTAGCCGTGTTGTCTCCCTGTGCCCTGCATCCACCAGCCCCAGATAGAAGGCCCTGGCAGAGCCTGGGATCCACCTGGTCCCACTTAACTTCAGCCTATTGCCAGCAGCCTCTGCACTGGTGTCCACACGTGTCCGGCCTGAGCTGCTGCTCTGGGCCCCTCGTGGGGAACCCCCTCCATGGAGCACAGCCCTGGTCAGCTCCTGGTTGGCCCTGGCAGGGCCGGGCCAGGTAAAGGCCCTGGTGGCTAACTGTGCGCGCTCTGCCTTTCTCCCTCCGTGTCTCCCCTGCCCTGCAGGACTGCTGTGGAAACTGCAGCGACAGTGAGGAAGAGCTTCCCGCCCGCCTCGAGCTCCCCACCCGCCTCTAGCCCCCAGCCTGAGGCCCCCCCGGGCGGTTGGCGGTAGCAGCTACTGCGAACGCTGTTTACAGTTTTGCACAGTGGTCTTCCCCATTGTCCACTCAAGTCATGGCCTGGGAGACACAGCCGGAGCTGTCCCCAGTGTCCTCTGCCCTGGAGCCCCTGGTCTGGCTGAGTGGTCAAGGCCTGGGCTGTCCCCTGGGACAAAGGTGCATCCCTTCAGCTCTTGTCTGTGGAGCTCGGGGCTTTCTGTATTTATGTCTTTGTATGAATGTATATAGCAACCAGAGCATTCTTAAGACTCACCCTGGAGACGGCAGAAGGGATGCTGCCGCACACTCCAGGCACCTCAGGCCCGGCTTGGATGGGCAAAGTTGGGCCAGGCCAGGCCCCTGGGCCCTCAGCACTGTGCTTGCCACCGCCGACCTCCGAGTGAGACTCGTGCCTGCCGCTGCCGCCCTGGGTTTAGGCCGCCACCTCTGGGGCCCAATACTGTCCCTTCTCAGCGCCTGTCAGAGCTGGATCTGGGACCACTGGGTCCCCTAGGCCTGTGCCAAAGTGTGACCAGAGACTGGGCTGCCCCTGGGACCCCTCAGTCCACTGCCCAGGCTGTCCCAGACGGGTCTGCCTCTGCCTTCCAGCTCCCGGGACACCTCGTCCCTTGTGCTGGGCCCTGTCCTGGAGTCGCCTCTTGCAGAACAGCCCAGCCCAGGCCACAGGAAGGGAAGGGGTGGGGGTGTCACTGACCAACCCTCAAACATTCCAGACTCCCCTCGAAACAGACACATGTGCCCAGCAATAATCCGCCCCTCCCTGTGTGTGTGAGAGAGAGAGAGAGAGAGAAGGGGGCAGGCTGAGGCTGTGTGCCTGCATCCCAGCCCCAGCCCTTCCCAGACTGATGGCCCTCTTGGTCCCAGTGTTAACGGTAATGTGGGATACAGGGCCCCAGGTTTTCCATATTTAAGGCCGATTTTTATTACTCATTTTGTCCAATGTAAGCTGCCACGTGTCTCTGTGTGAATACAGTCCGAGCACAAACCTGGCTAGCTGCCCCTGCCTGCCTCTTTCTTGGCCCTGGTGGTCCAGGGATCTCCTTGCTTCCCTGGCCCTGCTGGAAGTGGGAAGGGGTTGGAAGTGGGGCTGGTGGAGGCTGCCCTTCCACCAAGGCCTAAAGGCCTCAGGACTGATCTTGGGGTAACCTCTCCAAGCTCTGGTGGCCTTTGGGTCCCCACTAGGGTATGGGTCTGACTCCGCCTGTGCTGAAGAGGCAGGCTCAGCTGGCAGTATCCTCCAAGACCAAGGTGGCCTGGCCACCAGCTGTGGGTTTGGAGCCACCTGTGGAGTAGGGTGGGAGCTCCTGTTGGGAACACCTGCCCAGTCTCTCTTGTCTGGACACCTCCATGATTTGCCCAGGGCCCGTACACATGTATTAGAGTCATTCCTCTGCTCTGCTTCTGAAGCAGGAAATGTGGCTGGGCAGAAATGCACACCGGTGATGCTGCAAGTTAGGTCATGGCAGGGGCAGGTGTGGACCAGCCATGTGGGCATCAGGGAGAATTCTCTGAAGGTAGCAGTTGAACTGGGCCTAGGAGACCTGTGCAGAGATGGGATTGACAGCCTGTTGACCACAAGTCTGTCCCAGACTACACAGACCTGTTCCTGTAACCTCCCAATGACTCCAGCCCCTGCTACAACCACCTATAATGGTTTGTTCCTGGCCTTTGGGCCAGGTACCCAGAGCCACAGAGGCCACATGAGCTTTGCAGTTGGACAGCTCTGGGTTCAAGTCCCAGCCTGGCCACTTGTCAAGCTGCATTTGCATAGACCCTACCCTTGTCTGGAAAGATGGGTGTGATTTCCCATTGCCTCACAGAGCTTCTATGCAAATTCACTTAAATAGCCAGTCACCCTCCTGAGCCCTTGGGTCACTGGCAGCCCAGCTCTTGACAGCATGTGCAGTATGCACCACTGCTTCTGTTGATTTGAGGGCAATGGGGTAGGGAGAGGGCTTTGCCTGGGTCTTCCAGCTGGTGAGTGGCCATTGCAGGGTTGAGAGGAAGCCAACTGAAGATGAAGAAACTGGAGGTGAGAGGTAGGGGCCTGAGGCACAGCAAATTCTGTTGGGGTTGAGGACGGGGTAGATAGGTATTAGTGTAAAGAGGCTGTAGCCCAGCTCTGGGCAGGTGTGTGAGGGTGAATGAATGCCAGGTAGACAGGTAGGTCCATACCTCCTGATGGTGCTAGTGGGAAGGAATCTGCCTGCCAATGCAGATGCTGGTTCGATCCCTGGGTCAGGAAGATCCCCTGGGGAAGAGAATGGCTACCCACTCCAGTATTCTTGCCTGGGAAATCCCATGGACAGAGGAGCCTGGAGTGCTATGGTCCAAAGGGTCGCAAAGACACAACTGAGCATGCATGCATGCAAACCTTCCACCAGACTCCCCTTAGGCTAGGTAGGCACACAGGGAACTTCTTGGCAAGGGTTCAACCCACTTTAAAGTTCTTACCACAGTGCAGAGGAAACTTCCAGAATTTACTTACTAACAAGTCTTCCCCAAGTTCATCTCCCCATCCAGCATTGTGATCAGAGCTGGGAACCCAGATGGAGATGAGGCCCCCCTGCCAGCTTGGAACTCAGTCTGGTAGGCAAGCAGACGTGGGAACAGTGGGACCCAGTGTGATCAGCACTATAGCAGAGATGATTCTAGAACTGCTGGGGCTGCCACAGGGCTGAGACTGAGGGCCAACATAAAGCAAGGGAGGAGGCCCCTTGTCACAAACTTGTCCAGTTGGGACCTTCCAGGATACAGAATCAGATGTTCCCAGAAAAGGAGTCAGATGAATGATCTAGAGCCTCTAGTGGGGCAGTGGCTGGAGCCAAGATCAAGGAGACTGCCACGCTGGGTTTTGAAAGCTGTGTTAGGATGTGGGGTCTCATCTGGAAGGTGGGGGCAGTCCTGAAGGGTTTTAGGTGGTTGTGTTAGGGTGTCTGCCTAACATGTACAAAAGCACCCCATGTTTCCTTTGGGCAAACTCCCCTTAGTCATGGTTCAGATGGGACTGGGCTGGCACTAGCTGTATACACATACACTTAGAGCATGTGACCCGGGGGCACTGTCAGGGGTCTTTGGTTGCAAGTGACAGCTGTCCTATAGCTAACTTAGAACGTGTTAAAATGATACAGAGGAGCTGAGAGAACCAGGACTTAGGCAGCTCATCAGGTAGCACAACCCCCAGAAGCAAGATGCTACGGCCATGTTTATGTCTGCACTACTGAGCTTCAAATCCAAGGAGTCCAAATGATCAGGCTGGGAACCTACCCACTGTACATCAGGGGTACAGTGTGATGTACTGTACCCCAGTGATGGGAGTGTGGTGAGTCCCACAGTGAAATAAGAGTGCTCAAAGAAAAGGGAATGGATACTGGGTGACTGAACACATATCCCTTCGCCCATACCTGGATTGGTTCACCTGTGTACACTTGGCCAAAACAAATCCAAAAGGAGCCTGGGGGGTTGCCTGAACTACTGATGGACAGTGTTCTCAGTTCCTCTAGGGATGGATGGCTTATGTCTAGAGCTGTGGGGTCAACATCACCACCACATGGAGGCAGATTTACCTGAAAATGATGCAAACAGAAGAAAGCTGAGTGGAGAGAACAGATAAATGCCTCATTGCATTTTTAGAACACCTGGAACCAATTGTGACCATAGCTTAAAATCCCCTGGACAGTCCAGTTACAGGGAAAGTTACATTACACAAATAGGCCTCAAGCCTACTTATTTTGAGGTTTTGTCACTTGCAACCCAAAATGTTCTGGCCAACATGAGAGTACAGGATGTTTTTTGGAAGACCACCCTAAGTGTGGAGGAGAATTTGGACTGGAAACAAAGAACCCAATTAAGAGGCTGGTGGACAGTCAGAATCGGACTCAGCCTAGGCAATGGAGGCCCTGAATTAGAGCTCACCTCTGTTACCTGAAGATGAACAGAGTCCTTGGAGTCCAGATGTACAGATCTAGCACTAGTACTCCATGTGCTACTTCTTACTAGACATGTTGTAGTGTGTGCTGGGAACACAGTGGGGAGGGCTGTGAGTTGGGCTGTTGTTCAGTTGCTCAGTAGAGTCTGACTCTGCAACCCTGTGGACTGCAGCACACCAGGCTTCCTTGTCCTTCATCATCTCCCTGAGTTTGCTCAAACTCATGTCCATTGAGTCAGTGATGCCATCCAAGCTCTCATCCTCTGTTGTCCCCTTCCCCTGTCTTCAGTCTTTCCCAGCATCAAGGTCTTTTCAATGAGTCGGCTTTTCCCATCAGGTGGTCAAAGGATTGGAGCTCCAGCTTCAGCATCAGTCCTTTCAATGCAAATTCAGGCTTGATTCACTGGAAGGACTGATGTGAGTTGGGAGTGGACCATATATTTGTAAGTTGGAGATTCAGTGGGGTGCCCGCCTGCTCCAACTCCTGCCCAATGCGTGTGGTGTGTGCGGTGCCTGTCAGGATGTGACGGGGGCCAGGACACGTGTGTGCTCTCCGCGTTGAGCTGTGTGTGTGTGTGAGGGTTCTCCATCTCAGCTGTGTGTGTGTGACTGTATGTGTGTCAGGGTATTCCACCTCAGCTGCTTGTCTCAGCATACTGTGTGTTCGGCGGACGACGGCCTGCACGGGGTCTGCCAGCGTGTGCCAGGTCCAGACAGCCTGTTGCCAATTGTGTGGCGTGGGGTGAGCATTCCCTGTGCAGGGTGAGCCTGGCGCCCTTCCTGCTGAGTCTCGGATGCGGCAGGTGGGTTTCAGGTCCTCCGCCTTTCGCTCCCGGGACAGCCTCCTCGGCAGCGAGGGACGGGGGTGGGGGCACTCTGCTGGCTGCCGCGCGCGCGCACGCCGGACTCGGTACGCGCCGTGTACGCGCCCGTGCGCGCGCCCCGCGGCTCCAGCCCAGCGCTCGGAGCCGCCTTCGCTGCCACAGTCAGCTCCCTGGGGCCGCCGCCTCCCCCGGGTCTGGGGCTGTATCCGCGGGGCCGGCGCCGCTCGCCCTGAGCCAGGAGGACGAGCTCAAGGAGGATGCCTGGGCCCGTGAGTACAGCGGCGGCGGGCCGACCGGGTCCGGAGCGCAGGCAAAAGATGGTCCCGGGGCTGAGCCCCTCCCCGCGGGCGGCTCCGCTCCCTGGCCCCGGGTCGCCGCCTCGGACCCCCGCCTCGGCCAGCCCCTCCCCCAGCCCACAGAGGAGGGAGGGAGGGAGGGAGGGAGGGGAGAGGGAGGGCGCCAGTGAGCCGAGGAGCGGGGCGCGAGCCGCCGCCGGTTCGCTTGGAAACGGTTGCCACAGCAACGGGTTTGCGCTCCCCGGCAACGCGGCTGCAGGGCGGCGACGCCCCCTCCCCCACCTCACGAGGGGCCGCATCCCAGGGGCGCAGGGAGAGGGGGACTCTCCCTCTCGCGGTGGGGGAGAACTTCGCCCCTCTGGCCCTGTCAGGATGTGCCTGCCTCCACAGCCGTCGAGGGTGGGGGTGGGGGCGATCGGCCCCGTGGGCACGAGCTGGCTCCCAC